AGAAAAACCATCCAAACCCGACTTAAGAACATGATTGTCAGAATGTACACCAGTTCCACACAAAAGGGGCTCAAAAACTAAATCCTTTGAGGAGGTAAATACCTACATGTTCTTATGTCGGACGCTTCCCTTAGCCTCCATACCTTATCTGATCAGTCTTGAGTGTAACACGGGGCGGATTAAGTACAAAAAGAGTATTTTTTTTGTTCAAAAATGTACTTTCAGTGTGGAAAAGTGAATTGGGAACCTCAATTTCTGATACTGTGGTAATGTTTGGTACCGCTTCGTTATGAACTATTTGGACTTTCGACCAAGCATCAATCTCCCTTCTTACCAGTCTCCAAACTGCCACTCGACCCCCCTTCCTACCCATTGTACTCAGGTTTATGCGGCTCTCGCGTGTCACGCAAATCAAACAAGACGACTTGGCCAAATTAAAAGTAAACATAGAAAAATCAACTCACAATGCAAGGAACACCAAGAAAAGTTAGAAAATAAGTTTAATATTCCTTCTAACACCTAGTAAAGAATTTCTCATAAAGGTGCTCCTATGTGTCTGAATCTAATTGTTCAATTTATCATGTAAAAGAAACAGAGGATTTTGAGAAAGTTTGTGATTTTAGAGATTAACAAGAGTGGCTTAACTACCTGTAACTATAGTCATTACAACAGCCGTATATAACACACCGATGAATACACGAAGTTTCTACTTAGTGTACCCAGTGTTAAAATCAATAGACAATGGATATTCTAAACTTCTCCATGTTTTTATTTTCTTCAAAATGTTTCTTCGCATGATAGAGCCTGACCATGAAGATCACAGAACACATGTAAATTCTTTCATAAAGAGTACTGATAGAATCAAGAGAGTAAGTGTCATAAGAAACCGTGGTGCTGCGTCGTTGGGGGCAATACAAGATAATTTGGTTTTAGGCCCGGCGGCTGAACTGGCCACCGTAGAAAGTTTCTAAAGCGGTGGCCAATTTCCATTATCGACTCAGTGGATCAAAACGAATAACCATATTTATAGATTAGAAAGACATTTCAAATCTCGCAAGAGTTGAAGAAGCCGGATTGAGATCGAAAGACATCTCAGTCATAACCTGAATAGCTTCCACCGAACATTTTGCTGCTTGCGTGATCGGGTCGGAACCAGAAATCAAACTCGTACCTGAAGAGTTCTTGTCGTTCCACTTTGCCATTCCTGTCTCGGTCAGCTAATTTAAACCAAGCCTCGGCTCCATTTGGATCCAAACCACGAGCTTTCATAAAAATCTTTAGTTCATCCAAAGTGACCGTGCCATCGTTGTTCACATCCATGATGTTAAAGAAGGCGTCGGTTAGTTGTTCGAGCAAGGCTTTGTCGCCTGCCTCCTTCCGTTCCACTTCATCTCGCGCGAGACGGTTGAATCCTTCAGTAAACTGGGTCTTTGTGATTTTCTGTCCTGGCATGAAACCCACTGCGCCCCAGAACTGACGAAGTTCGATGCGTAAATTTGTGATCTCCGAAGGGGTGGCCTTGCACATAGTTTGCAAATTCTCCGCCAGCTGTAAGAATTCGTCTAGAGTTAAAAAACCGTTTTGGTTGAGGTCTAACGCATCAAAATAATCCCCTATCCTTTTCACCCACGATCTTCTCTTCATTAAATCGACTTTAGCAGACATCTGGCCCTACAAGTCTGTTCTCTAGTCAAGACAAGAAACCGAGTATCGAGTACTTATCTTTGCCTCAAATGTTCTGTATCTCTACAGACACGCCTCATAGAATGTAAGGCAGCTGTCTTGTTTCTAGGTATAAAGCAGCTCTGTTTATACATGACCCTTCAAGTTGTTAACCGCTCAACTATGAATCGTTGGCTGAGGTTTAAACAAAAGGAAAAGCCCCCGCAGTTTGAAGAGTTCGATTTGAATACACACAAAGAAATAGATGAAATTGGCAACGTTGTTCGAGCGTCAACGAAAAAATGGAATTGTTTTTTACCGTCTTCATTGGAACATATCTTACTCCAACGATAGTATATTAATGAGCGGGAAAAACAGTGTGAACTGATAACCAAAGCTTAGTTAAACAACCGAGCTGGAAATATGAGAATCTAAGTAGAGAGGACTTTCGACAAAGACTATCCATGTGAAGAAGACATTTCTGGTATTTCACGCTTGTTAATTCTTTTCACCCCAACATCAGAGTGCATATTCTCCATACTGTTCTCTACCAATTTTTTAAGGTGCCGACAAGATGAATTTGTCAAAAGCCTCTTTAGTTGGTGATCATTACCTCTATTCAATCGAGACGTTCATGTTTGATTCAGGGGTGATATTGTAAACAGAAATTAGATTCTAATCACTTTTAGGGGTTAAAAGTTTAAAAACATTTCCGGTAAAATTTGTTTAAATTGTAACCGTTAGGGGGAACTGTTATCAAAATACTGAGTTGTTCTGAAGTTCAACCCACTCGGCTTCCTCGCGGCTCCCACACTCGCGATCAATGTCTAAAGAATTTCTAACCAACATCAAACATGGTTCGATGACCAATCCCTTTTTTTCTGTTTCAACGCACTGTTTGGAGCTTTTTTTCTTACTTCTTTGTGTTTTATAAAGGCTGAAGACCGTCAAACATTCATTCAATTAAACACTGTTTTAGACTTGTTTAGTATGTTGGTTGACGTAGGTTAGTAAAATTTTGAGGACATACTTTTCAAAATTACTGTATTGGGACAATTTAACGGTTACCAGGTGTATGTCAGTTGGCAACACTACTCGAAAGAGGATTGTGTTCTTGTTAGATATGGATGGAAAGGATTTCTCATTCGCTCATTCGTAAGGACAATAAAGTCTTGAAACACCAAGGCGAACTGAGTACACAGAAAAGAGAAAATATACACGTTCTTGACAACTTGAAACCTCGAATTTGAAGCAATTTGATACAACTAAAAACATTGCAAAGACCACTATCGTAGTTTTCAGAATGATTTATTGCTCAGATACTCTATGGTCATTTTTTCCTGGTTCAAGGCGGATTGGCAGTGTTTTTACGGCTCGAATGGACAGCTTTGTCAAAACTTTTTTCGCGTGCACATTCTTTGAGTGTGCATCGCACCGCACTGCACCGCTTCATCACTTGGTAATTATTTGGTTCTACATCATCGTACGTTTGGTCACCAAACCTGTTTGATTGTGTGTATTTCTACTGGATGCCGTAAAAGCAGAGTTAAAAAAATATTCACTCCAGAGAAAAGGCAAACAACATCATGAGCCAATTAGAGGAAATAAAAAAAAAATCATTTTAACAGCCTGAAGCGCGGGAAGACGCGAGTGACAGAATTTTTGTTTTGCATCTGATTGGTTGAACGGGGAGTGGTGCAAGTTCCGTTAACCGTTCGCAGGAATATCGTATTCGTGCAAAGCACTGAAATCGTAGATTACTTCCTCCCAAGTATTTTATTGTCAAAAACTTCAAACTTGGATAGGGATTCATTTAAGCATCAGTCTGACGTCCTCTCGTTCTAAGTTTGTGTAAATTAAATTGCATTAAGGTTACCGTGCACCTTCAGGTGTGTCTCGCGTGCAAGCGATGTAGCGCGTCCGGTTTAAACTGTAGATATCTAAACCCCTATATCAAGTTAAAGCTTATAGGACTGGCTATCAGACTATACCAAATATTTTTAAAAAAAAATGAATTGTCGAATTTTTCACGACTTCTAAATGCGAGCGCCCGAATCACCTCTTGAACGTTACATGTTAAAACGAATTTTGTTTTTCGCTTATTTTATGTGTTCCTCCGTTTCTGGGGCCAAAGCGCTAAAAAATCGTGTCTGCGATCTGCCATATTCAATTTTAGTGAAAAGTTACAGAACATTTTTAAAATAGGATTAAAAAAATGTGGAGTGATGGTACAACAATCGCTCTTGAAAAAAAAGTATCTAGAAATAAAAATTTCGGAGACACTCTTTTGTTGTTTATATATAAAACTAGCTACTGTCAAAATTTGAGAGCAATCGAACAAATTCCCTTTGACTTGTAGCTCTTAAAAGGTGATTCGGGCGCTCGCATTTAGAAGTCATGAAAAATTCCACAATTCATTTCTTTCAAAATTTTTGGTAGTCTGATAGCCAGACCTATAAGCTTTAT